CTATTCTATTCTATTCTATTCTATTCTATTCTATTCTATTCTATTCTGTCACTTAATTAGGAAGATAATCCACAATATTATCTGTCTACAGGTAGTCCTCAATTTATGACTACAGTTTAGGTCCAGAACATATGTGACTAAGGAGTACAGTTGTTAAGTGATCTGTGACACTTTTGCCGCAGATGTTAAGTGAATCACACAGCCATTAAGTGAATCCTGCTTTCCCATTGACTTTGCTTATTCAGAAGTCCCTGGGAAAGTCATAAATGGTGATCATATGATCCCAGGATGCTGCAAGCACCCAAATTTTAACCACATGACACTGCAATAGTCAAAAGAGGGAGGACCAATCTTAAAGCTGATTTTTTTCAGCACTGTCATAACTGAACGGTCATTAAACCAATTGTCATAAGTCAAGGATTCCTTTTATTTGGAACTTGGTTTTATTGATGCTAAAACTGATTAGAGCTATACAGCACTTTCATTTTCATCCAAAACAGGTGCTACAGAGCTCTTGGTATCTCTTTAAAATGATTGTTATGCATGCTCTCCCATATGCTTCCAAAGACTTTTGGGGAACCAGTCCAGATGGCTGCACAGTCTTCTCATCAGTGGTGGGTTTCAATTTTTTTTTACTATCGGTTCTGTGGGTGTGGCTTGGTGAGTGTGGCATAACATGGTTTGGTGGGCGTGGCAGTGGAAGGTTACTGCAAAATCCTCATTCTCTCCCCACCCCACTAACCTGCTTTCCAGCTCCAGTCTCCTGTGCAGGGCAACCAAAGAAGACCCAGATGATCAGCTGGGACTTGGGAGGCAGAGAATAGATGGGGGCGGGCCCAGTCAGAGGTGGTATTTGCTGGTTCTCCAAACTACTCAAAATTTCCTCTACCGGTTCTCCAGAACTGGTCAGAACCCGCTGAATACCACCTCTGCTTCTCATGTGAAAGTAATGATTTAGCATTCCCACTTCATGGAAATGATGGGAAATTGTTGTTTCAAAGTCTGCTGCAAGGAACGGCAATGTAAGGAAAAATCCCATGGCCTTGCTCAAATCCTGTTTTGTATTTGACCTTCTAAAGAAATGGACTTGTAGATAATTTGTGGGCTCCCCATATGAATTACATCCCTGATCTTGCAAAGGTATGAATCACAAGAAGAACCTATTCTTGAAAAGCAATGCTCTAAGCACAGCGTAGACTGCACACATTGCCTTCTGGCACACAAGCACAAGCACAATTATCAGCAAGGGAGCTGAAAAAGCTTTGCCACCACTGACCTAGACGAAGTAGAAATTTCCTAACAGTGAGAACAATCAACCAGTGGAATGGCTTGTCTTCAGAAGCTGGACGAGTATTCCATCATGGAGGCTTTTAAGAAAAGACTGGACAGCCCAGAGGTGGTATTCAGCAGGTTCTGACCAGTTCTGGAGAACCAGTAGCGGAAATTTTGAGTAGTTCGGAGACTCAGCCAATGCCACCTCCTCTGGAGATTTTGCAGTATCCTTCCCCTGCCATTCCTACCAAGCCACACCCACAGAACCGGTACTAAAAAAATGTGAATCCCACCATTGGTCTAGAGGTATATATTTTGCTTAAGTTTTCCATCACACAACCTAAAAATAAATTATACACCAGAAACGTTCTTATTGGGAATAACCAATGAGAATTTTTAAAAAAGCAGATATATATCTAATTATTCATGTTATCACAGCTGCAAGATTATCAATTGCCCAAACATGGAAGTTAAAAGGAATACCGAATAAAGAAGTAATAATAGAAAAAAATTCTTCAGTGCGCCGTTAGATAGTCTGACGTTAGAACTGATGGAGCAAGTGTGATGACCCAGAGTGTATCAAAAATATAACAAAAACCAAAACGTAAATAAAGGTCCTTTAATGCCTTCAACTTGGGTTCACTGTTTAATTGTTCACAGTTGAAGATTAAACTATTTTCAAAATAACATTCCAAATGAAAGAAACACAGTTCAAATCCAAAGAACAGATAACGAAGCAAAAACGAAAAATAAACCACACTGAATAAAGTTCCACGACAGACCAGGATAAATAATTACAAACTTCAGGAAGATAACTAGGTACAGTCCATTGGAAGAACTCCAACCAAGATAAACCTCATCTAGGAATAAAACACTAATTTGTATCCAGCGTCTGTTAGCACACAGGTCCAAACTCTTATGCAAATCTCACACCTGCAACCCATGCAGAGGATCATGGCCCTCTCCTCCCGAGTTGACCACCTTCTTCCCTGATCCTCTCCTCCCTGCATGCCCTAGGATGGATAGGGGATGGGCCTGGGTCCTCCTAACTGTTCAGAATCAGTCTCCATCTAGGGCATGACAGCGAGACACTTCAGAGTTCTATGAAATATGGAAAAAAAAATTAATTGGAGAGATATGAAAGGAAGTAAAAAAATGTGAAATAGAATTTAAGAAGAGATTATACTGCAACATAATGTCTAAGATAGAAATTGATACAAAGATTTACAATGTAAATATATATATCTATATATCTATCTATATCTATATCTATATCTATATCTATATCTCTATCTATCTATCTATCTATCTATCTATCTATCTATCTATCTATCTATCTATCTATCTATCTGTCTATCTATCTATCTAAATGTTAATACAGTTTGGTGACATTTTGCTCATATAACAATGCAAAAAGATCACCACATTCAATGTTTTTAAAACCTAATTTTCAATAAAAATTATTATTAATAAAAAAAAAACCATTTGAATCCCACCACTTGGGACCACCACTTATCTGGAATGGTCTCCTCGCCCAAGCGAGGGGTTGGAATAGAAAACACCAAGAACCTTTCCAACTCTGTTATTCTGTTAATAGGGGAGGTTGGGGGGATTGAAAACAAACTATGTAAGGTTCTAAATCCTGACTTTGCAACAGTTGTCTTTTTTTATTTGAAAGAAATATTGACCACATGTAGTTCACTTGAACAGAGGTTATTGTGTGAAGTTTCTGTTGTGAAAATGGCTCTGCATCTGACGCACAGTTTCCAACCAGATGTCACTGCCAGTGGGAGGCTGCAAAGCTGCACCATTTCCCCATTTTTCAGCAACCAGTTTTAAGAGGAATAGTTTCTCCAATGTGAAATAATATTTATTTTTAGTAGAAGTCACTGTGATT